TCTCATCTTATACTTCTATTTTCACAAATTTTCCTAAATTCGTTCTTTTTTTCTTCAAGAAGAGTTTACATCTTGCAATAGGATGCTTTTTTTTCGAAAACTGTAAAACTTCAAAACATCTTTAAAAACATTGAACAATTGGCTAGAATCTTCATTTTGAAAAATCACTTTTTCTAAAAAATTATTTAAAAAAAAGAACGAACTCACGACTATAGAAGTAAATGCTTCACGTTTTAAAATGAGATCGATTGGAGATCGTTACACGATCTTTTCTTCCAGGTTCGCATACAACCAAGAATTTTTCATTGTTACTGATACAGTTATGCTTTTCACTGTATGAAGAAGAATCAAGTGAATTCTATTTTACTAAAACTCACTAAAATTTTCATCCAACTCGAAACCTGTCGACGACGAAACTGTCGAAATTAAACCCACTCTCAACTCGTTAAATTTGTGTTTTGTTATTTGGAGCGATGCGTTTACGCGCTGTTATATCGTTCATTGTTCGCCAACGAACTGCACACGGTGAATTTACATCTCTGTTACGTCTATGTAATTGTAACAAATCTCCGCGTTGTTCCAAATCGTTCGAATGCGACGGAAATCAGCTTTTATTGAAACATTATTCAAACAATGTAAGTACTTACCTCAAAATTGGCAAGTTGAATAATACATTCATTGAGCTGGATTTTATTTCAAACGATCGTAAATCGTAAGTTCACTGGAACACGAAGACGATTTCATTTCGCGAATGTGCCAAACGATAAATAAGTAAAAAAAAAAAAAAAATATTTCTTACACGTCGACTCGTAAACTCTTGTCGACTTGTAAACTGTCTGCAAAGTTGTCAAATATTTTTTGCAATATTTTTTCACGTATCGTCAACCGATTCGCGAGGGAAGAAAGCGTCAGTAAATTGGAAACGCTGTTCTCGCGATCATTAACTCGCTGGCTCTCTCGTTGTCGAGAGCGGCGGCTCGTTTTGGAAATTTTCAACGGTCGGCGAGAGTTGGTTATTAAAATACGTCCGGTCGAATACCGGCTATAGCAGTTTCACGCGGCGAAACGCGATTAGTTTCGCGCAAGGACGTCCCTTTGGCTCCGCTAGCGCAGCCACGCACGCTCGCCCTCCAATTTTAATTAACCCTCTCGAGTTACTCGCGCGCGCGTGCGCGTTGATTTTAGAGAGCATTGGAGAAAAAAAAAAAAAAAAAAGAAAAAAGTAAAAAGAAGATGGAATTTCTAGACTAGGGATCGAAACTCAACGCACAATTTCGTGTCAGGTAAAATATCATTGTGAGACAAATTACTGTAATGGATCAAAAAAAAAAAAAGTATCGGCACACCTGGTTTTCTTGTGTACATAATTTAAATAAATTTTTTATTTTACTCGTTATTTAAGTGATGTTACTCTGGTAACAATACTTGAAAAATACTTGAGATACTATTATTATATTCGAAAAATAAAAAATTTAGAGAACAATAATTCTCTTTCTGTCCTAAATGTTGGACCCTTGCGAAAGAAATGATAAAACGGAAAAATATATTCTTCGGCGAAAAAGTAATTTAGATATTGTTTTGTTAATTAAAGAAACAACGTAATTCAATTATGCATAACGTAATACACTTCTCGATTTATTAATATGCATTTGTTTCACAATGATAATTGAAACAAAATTCATAAGAAAAGTAGTTATTTATAGAATGCAGCACTGTGTCACACGAATAACATAATTCCTTCTTACTGGCCAAATTATAAAGACCAATGAATAAGATTTTCATAACTGATCAAGGATTCTCCCTGCAATATAATATATTTTTTATAACAATAATTCGAAAGCTTTTACAATAATAACTCGCGTTTGAGTTGTGTCACTTTTTTCGTAATATTTACATATTATGCAATGCTTGATTAACGTATTAATAACGCAATAGTTTATTACGATGTTACAAATATTTTAATTTCTTGAAATTTCATACAATTGTGAAATCTCGATGGAAGAAACAGCAACGAAAAAGATATTAAACGAATTACATTTCGTAGTCATAATTTTGAAAAAGAAAAGAAGGAAACAGAATTCGATGATATAAACTGACTGAGAGAAGTTTCAAATGAAATTCTGCATTAACGCAAAACGTTGGTTTCTTCATGGATCGAATGAACTCTCACTTGTTGAATCCATTTATTTAAACGTGAACTCCTAATACTAACGTATGATAAAAAAAAATACTGGTAGTGGAGAAACTCATCGTATTATATGAACTCCAATTACATAAACTGTTTGTCTTCGAGAAAGTTTATATGAATGGAGTTGCATTTCATTATTCTTGTCCTCTCAGTTATATTGTTCTAAATATTAATTTCATTGACATTGTATTCGATACGTTGTTTATAATGCATGATGTTTTAAAAATAGGTAATATTATTAATAAATGGCATAAAACATTGGTACAATAATAATATAAACATTGACGATTAATAAATATATAATAATAACATATATCAATAAATATATAAATAAATTATTATATATTATATTTGTTTTGTAATAATAATTGTTCTATAATAATTGTTGCAGAAATGAAATATTTAAAATAGCATTAAATAAACTCATTGTAAAGAAGACAATTTTAAATTTAAATGGCAAATAAAAATTTATTTAAAATGAAGATTAAATAGTAATTGAAAATCGGCAATGAGAATAAGACAATCACAGCAAAATATTGAACATGCAAACGATGAAAGAATGAAATTAAAAGATTATCTTCTGCCTCAAACTTTAGATCACATTTAAGATGAAAACAAACGAAAACAATTAATATGTCTATTACGCACGAAGAATTATTAAAAGTTATTTCTCATTTTGCATTATTATATGAAATTATCATTTGGAAGTAATTTGTTCCTCAAATGAGATATTGGGATTTATTTGCATTAATTCTTATTTTAAAATGTTGTCTTCCTTATTTCTAAGCCTAACTATGTCTTGAAGCAAACGTAAGCATTATTTAAATAAAACATTTGCCTCGATATTATCTTGAAATAATCTTCTGTTAATTCATTTGAATAAGCAAATGATTTCTCTGAATTATTCGATTTGATTATCAAATAAAATAATTTTTTTATCCCATTTGTATTTATTTCTATGAATAATTTCTCAAGTAGTTTTCAATTGTTATTATTATTTATTTTGTAATATGAATTTAGTTATTTTATTTCAATGAATTAATTCAAATAATAAATTATTTGCGAATGATCTATTTGGTATGCACCAAGGGTAAAGTTACTTTCATTTTGCAAATGAAAATAATGGAACGAATGGAAATGATTCCTTATTTCAGATTATTATTTTTTTATCACGATTTCACATAAAATTTGCACAGCCATGCCTCGAGGATTTTCAAGACTTCCAAGACTCCGACAAAGTTCTGAGATATCGAATCGTATCCGAAGCGATTCGAACTTTCGCAGCATAGAAAAACTTCGATCCGCTTCGAAACTGAGGTTTGAATGTTCATCGCTAATAATGGCGGCTTATTAACTATATTGCAGGTAGCTGAACTTTGACGAGAGAACTTTCCAACCACCGTGAACAATTTTTACAAGTTACATTCAAATAATGATCTACGCTTTTTTAATCGACAAAAAGCTCAAAAGTTTCAAGACTACGTTTATTTCAATACTGGAAAAAAATGAAATAATATCTGATACGATCCGTAAAGTAATATAAAATGCACACGCAATTGGGAAATTTTGTGATAGATGAATATCGAGAAAATCTGTAATAAACGAATATTAAAACAAAAAGTGACAATTGAGTGTTAAAAATTAAAAAAAAAATGTGCGATTTTTGATAATGCTCTGTTATTATGTCATATTTTATATTCTTTTATGCTCATGTTCATTTCTTTCCATGCTAGTTTTCCACAGTCAAGTGAGAATTCACTTTTACTGAAAACCGCCCACGTAGTAATCTTTTGGGTTTGGGACGCTTCCTTCCGTGATTGTGAAGTACAGTTCGGTTCGAAAATCTTTTTATTTTTAATATTTTTAATACAGTGTTTATCATGAGTCATAATATTTTTAATAAATTGCACGTATATTTTATAATACAATTATAGAATCTCCGATATTTATTATCCGGACGTTGTTATTTGACAAGAAATATAAATTCTTGTATTAAATTTTCTTACATGTATTATCATAAAAAACCTAAAAAAAAAAATAGAGAATACAAAATTTTATTAAAAAACAATACTGGTAAAACATATAAGATTTTTACACTTAATTCCGTGATAAATAAACATTTTTTGTTTACGAGTGATGAAAATATACAGGATACATAATTAATAAGATAATAAAATACACGAACACAGTGTAACTCTACAGAGTTATTCATATTTAAAAAGTTAAGCCACAGAAAGATATAGGTTTTCAAATATCAAAATTACGTTTTTAAATATCATTTTCTTAATCATTTTCATCGTTTGGATACATACGATTTAGAATGGTTGAACACCAGAAAAGTGGTTGTTCTATCGCTGTTTCATCGATCGATTAATTCAAATATGGAAATATTTCACTGTGCTGTGTTCATTGGTATATTAACACTAGAACGAATTCTTTCGTTCACGAAATTATTATTTAATTCTTCAAGTTATCAAACAAACATGGCACTTATCGCAAGATTTTTGAGCAAGGGTGTACATGGAACGCAAAGACACAAAGGAACGCAAAGGGTCAACAGGGCCCGAGGGGGTGCCTACGCGGCTAACAGGCCCGTTAATTGCCTTGACACGACCTCAGGTTCACGGTATGCCAATAGCTAAGGGAGCTAGGACGTTGAATGTGCACGCGCTTGCCAAATGTATAATAACGCGTGACTAGCAAGGCACCAATTATCATGGTGTAGCGCCAACGTCGGCATAGATTTAAGAATTGATCATTAAGAAGGACAAATCATCGTTCTAATTTGGAGGTCATCATTTCGGATATAGCGCGTGATACATATTTGGCACGTTTCTCTTGCAAAAAGTCACGTTACTTTGCTGGATGCAGATACATTTATTCGAGCCTCAATAACATCGATATTCTTCGAGTATATACTTTTCACACTTCGAGTGACAAAATATGCCGCCATAGACACGTACAAATATTTGATAAATGATTTCCATACGCTTGCAAGTAGTGTTGTAAAAATGAGTCGAACTTTGATAGAATTGTGGTTCAAACTCTAGGTTCGAACCTTCGAGCTGTAAAAGTTTAAGACGTAATCCTTAAAGCTTGAATTTTTACATAAACTTGGAAATTCGGGTTGTTTAAATTGTACACAATAATGAGATTTGTGAACAATAGATCGTGAAATATCCTTGGGAGCTAAGTTGCAAACCTTGAAAGCTAACAAAGTCAACGTTTAAGAACTTGAAGCTCGAAAACTCGAACTTTATACAATATTAATTTCACCAGAATGTGAAATATTCAATGTTTCAATATTCAATCAGAATGAACTCTTTCTGGTTGAATCAATTTATTCGAACCTGAACTCCAATTACATATATAAAGTACATTCGGGTGAAATTCTTCTTGTTCGTTTTCATTTGAAAAATAAGCTCAGTTATGTATAACGTGTATCATTGAATAATCTCGAAAATTTTCTGCTCATCCTTTAAACTATAATTTATTAACATTTTACCAAAAAGTAATGATTTTGTCTCTCTTATAATGACATAGATGGTCCGATTTTTCTTTGAGAAGAGTTGACATGAAATTGTGTATGATAGTAAATATTATTTTAAAGAATCATGCCAACTGAATATAAAAGGAAGTCTAACAATAGAGGATTATGAACAAATGAAGAATAGAGATAATTAAAAGTGGCGTGAATGCGACGTCTAGAGTTTATGACATTCTGGCTCCTATGTTCAGTAGACGAATAAAAGATGATTATTCAAACAAAATTTTAAACTCAATTTTGTTACTAGGAATGTAAAGGAAAAATTCTTAAAATTCATATCAAAAAATTGTAAAAATACGGTTTCGCGCCAATACGTGAAAGCGTAAGTTGGCGGAAAACTTGAGGATAAATCATAAATTTAATGAGGAAAAAAAATTAACTGGATATGATTGATTAAATATGTTCTTAAAACGTCATCCAGATCTTTTCATTGTTTGAAAATCAGATTTTTCTTTATCTCGGTGCCAAAGTTAATAGGATAGAAATTGACTCATATTTTCAACTATCAGAGCAAATCTTACGAAAAAATTTCTTAAAAATCGAGAAATATATTTAATATAGATGAGACAGGTCTCATTAAAATTTAGCTCAAAATATATATTTTTTGTCTGGAAAATCCGAATGAAATAGTCTTTTGCATAAGACGTTATTTCTTTTGTTTTGTAAATTTACGATTACTTTTTAATTTTCTGTTTTACAAAACATTATAAATTCATATGCATTTACTTTCACAAATATATTTCTTTCTTAGATATCGATTATATTTAAGATGTAATAATTTAAAAAAAAATGTGATTTTTATATCCTACTGTGGACATAATTAAAAATATCTTTATTTCATCCGTACATTTCACACATGATACATACTTGTGAGTCCAAGAATTTATACACCAAGAATTGTGTACCAAGAATTTATTGAATTGCGCACCAACTTACAATCCATAAGAAGTCAATATTATTAATAATACTATAAAAGGAATTTATACCTAAGGAAAATATTCCTTAATATTATAATATAATATTAGGAATTTATACAAAGGAAAATATACCTAAACGAAAGAATGGAACATAAGTAGTCTGTCTTCGAATGATTCAATGGAAAATTCTTTGCTCTACTATATTGCAAGATATCAAGTTCTTGTTTTTAAATGTCAAGAATTTATCTCTGAACAAATTGAAAGTCAAATATTTCAATAACTGAATAGTGAATATTAGTGTCAACGTACACAGACTCCATTGTAATAAATAATTTTCATAACAATAAACTTCACACGTCTCAATGAACTCATGAATGCATAACTCGAGCTTTATACAATACTACTTCCAAGTAGTATACAAGTGAATACACAATTAACCTTGTGAAAATACGTGAACCATTTATTTTGAGAGTGACATAAATCCATTTTCCGAGAAAATTGAGGAATTGAAAAATTTATATACACTTTAACGTGGACTTTTTATTTAGGAATAATTTAAATCCTAAAATATTCGTTGGTTTCAAATAAAAACTTCGTTGCTAAAATAG